AGCTCCACACCTGTCGACGCATCCCACACCCGCACAGACTCGTCATACGAGCCAGACACAATCCGTGTCCCATCACTCGAAATTGCGACTGATGTAATTGGTGCTCCAGCTGATATGGTCATCAATGGCAAGTCAATAACGCCTTTGGTATGTGTAAAGGCAGGGATGCGAGTGAATTGGTTTTTCCACTTTTGAGAGAGACTCGTGTTCCGTGACCATGTTGCCAACGCCGAGATGTACAGGTGCGGTGTCGATTGGGCAGCCGGGCTCCCAGTGAAATAAGTAGCGAAGTTGGCAGCTTCACCGATGTCACGCGCCAATTCTAAAAAATTGTTCCCGCACTAATTGACAGCATTAGTTGTTGCAGTACGGCTCAAACTTTACAATTCATACCTTCAAGGCCCATTCACGTGCACGTTGAAGCATCGGAGTGCACTGATTGCGTAGTCCGAGCAGGTTCATGGCCTCAATCCAGAACAGGACACAAATTTGGAGGAAATCCGAAATGAGGCGAAGGAGATTATCGACATCGATCGACTGGGGTAAGGGCAAGTGGCGAGTCCAGTGCCGAACTGAGTACCTCAGAGCAGCACTGATGTTTCTGTTGACCTCTTCAGCCAACGCTACCGCGTTATCACTGTCGAACAGGAAGGATGATGGTATATTGCCCATGTTGAATTGCAAACCAGACTTCATTATCTGGAAGCAAGATTCGCCGAGAAGATTGTGATGGGCAGGTTCATTACATGAAAATGCGTAGTCCTTCTCGCCGATGCGGAAGTCTGACCGTGCTGGATCAAAAATGAAGTCAGGAAAGGAGGCATGGTACCAAAAAACTCGATTGTCTTGGGAATGAAGCACGGCGTGCAGATCGTCCAGAACGGCCTTTGCAACTCCATTGTTGCCATCCGGGACAAGCGTAGCAACGGTGGAGGCGGACGTGCGTTCAGCCGTACATAGGAAGGTATAAAGGATGCGCAATCTGCAAATCAAGAACTTTCCCTTGAACGGCGAAAAGCTGTCGCATAGAATTCGACGGTACAAATCATCAATCAAGAATGTAGCATCGCTCTCGAAAACCGACTTGGAAAGAAGGTTTTGAAGCATCTCCGTCTGCTCACCAACAGTGATTGAGCGATGTGGGATCAAGTACTTCACCGCAGTTGCAGCGTAGATGAAGAGACCATCAGCCCGCCGCTCAAGCTCGGTCAGCTCGGGAGTGCCATCAAGCTTCTTCAGCTTGTTTTTCAAGTATATCCTGATGTCTGACCTGGCCTCCTCAGTCGGCACATCTTGGAGACGACAGACGGCCTCGGACGTGAATGCCTTGCAGCGCTCAACGAGTTCAGGATCTGACCGGCTTGTGACAAGAAACTTGAGACCTCTTAGATCGTATTCGTCGATTGTGTCGAGTAGGTCACCTAGAAATGCCGATCCTCCTTCGCCTCCAATCTCATCGAGAGCATCGATGACAATCAGGTATGGGAATCGTTCTAATTCCCGTGTGCCTTCGGACT